ATAGTAGCAAAGGAAAAAAAAAAAAAAAAAAAAAAAAAAAACCAGGATCTTTCCAAGGGAGTTTCACTGGGTATATTAGCCAAACTTTAGCCCCATCCCCAACAGTAGACAGCCAACACAAACACAAAATTAATTCAATGGTATTTTTGTAGAGTTTTTGCTTTGTTTGAGCCTTTATTGGTCCTTTGCTTGCTTATTTAGGTTCCCCTTTTGGTGTTCTTATATGTAGGTGTTTTTTTTTTTAATTCAAGTATATTTATAGAACTGATTACATTAACTTTATGATTTCTGATTCTCTTCTCTGCCACTGTGAATTCAAGTTACCAGCTGTTACCATTTGCTTGCTCTGATTACAGCTTTGTTCACATCTGCTTCCCACATAGTTAATGGGAGTGCTATGCTATAGCCTCCCCCAAAGAGCTATATATAGTTGGGATTTTCATATGAATTTATTTATTTTATATCCTGACTGTTTTCCCTCCCTTCTCTCCTCCAGACCCTCCTCCACCCACTCTGTTCCCACTCCCTATACACAGTTTCCTACAGTTGCTCCACACATCAGTTTGAGAAATCCATGTGTATATTCTCTTTAATAATTACGTGATTTTTCTGGTGACCTGATCTTCCCAGGAGCTACTTTAACCTTTACCTGAGAATTCATATGGAAGGAGGCCTGGGTTCTTGGCCACACCCTTCTGTAGTGGTCATCACTCCAGAAAGATGGAAAAAGAAAACTGTTGGTGTTCCAGACACTAACAGCTCACTATTCTGGCCGAGGTTTTCTTAAATGTTTCAAGTACAAAATGCCTATGGGACAATTTCTGTTTTATAAATTCAACTAGGTAGGCTTGTTCCCCCTGGAGAAATGGTTTGTGGTGTTCCACACAGTATCATTATACAAGTCAGTGTCTTTATTTATTTTTGAGACAAAGTACCTCTATATAGGCCTGGCTATCTGGAAACTCACTATGTAGACCAGGCTAGCCTCAAACTTACTAGCCTCTGCCTTCTGCACGTGAGGATTAAAGGCATGTGTCACCATGCTTAGCTCATTTAATTCTTTTCCTTTTTTACTTTTATTTAAAAAGTTGGGTATTTGTTTTTTACATCTCAGCTGCAGTACCCCCCCTTCCCACCTCCCACTCCACCCCTCCTCCATCTCTGTTTAGGAAAGGGCAGGTCTCTCGTGGATACTAACAAAATGTATATCAAGCAGCAGGTAGACAAAGCACCTTCCCATATATTAAGGCTGGGCAAGGTGACCCAGTATGGGGACTGGGGCTCCAAAAACCAGTAAAAGAGTAAGAGACAGCCCCTGCTCCCACTGCTGGGGTCCGACAAGAGGACCAAGCTACACAACTGTAACATATATGCCATGGGCCTAGGTCCATCCCACGCAGGCTCCATGGTTGTAGGTCCAGTCTCTGTGAGCCCGAATGAGCCAGGCTAGTTGATCCTGTGGGTTTTCTTGGGGTGTCCTTGATCCCTCTGGCTCCTACAACTCTTCCTCCCACTTGTCTTCAGGATTCCCTGAACTCTGCCTAATGTTTGGCGTGGGTCTCTGCATAATAATTGGGCTGGGCACCTATCTATGAGTATAGCAGAGTATCATTAGGCGTCATTGTATTGATGTTTTCCCTTTCCAGTCATGTTTGGTTCTTTCCTAGGTCTCTGGGTCATCCAGTCTCTGGGTACTGGTGATCCAGGTAGTATCAGGGAGGGAGGTTGCTTTCCTAGCACAGGCTTTTAAGCTAGGCCAATCATTGGTTGGCCACTCCCTCAATCTCTAGGCCATCCTTACCCCAGGATAGACTGTGGCTGGGATGGTTTCCCACTCCCCCCACTTGAAGTCTTGCCTGGTCACAGAGGATGGCCAGTTCAGGCTATGTAGCCACTATTGCTAGAAGTCAGCTGGAGTCATCCTTTAGATTCCTGGAAAATTCCCTTACATCAGGGTTTTACCTGACTCTGAAATACCCCCTTTCCAGTAATCGTTTTCATTACTTTCCCCCTCCATCTATTCCTCTGATCTGATCGCTCATGTTCCCATCACCACCTGCCCTCAGTCCACTAATGAAATCTCTTTAATTTCCTCTCCTCAGGGAGATCCAGGCACCACCCGCCCACCCCACACCCCCCCCCCCGGCCCTCCTTGTTTGCAGGTCTCTGTGGGTCTGTGATTTATAGCATAGTTATGCTTTATTTTACAGCAAATATCCACTGAGGAGTGAGTACATACCATGTTTGTCTTTCTGGGTCTAGGATGATTTGTTTCCCTAGTTCTATTTGCCTTCAAATTTCTTTCTGTCATTGTTTGTAACAGCTGAGTAACACTCCATCATGTAAATGTACCACTATTTCTTTATCCATTCCTTGGTTCAGGGAACTTTCACACTTGAATTTCAATTTGATTCTTAGAACTTTTAAGAATGTTCTGTGTACGTTGTGTATATATATGTGTGTGGACACACGGGTGTGCCTGGGTGCATTTGCAAGGAGGCTGAAGCCATTGGACGGCCCATTCTATCACTGTCTTATTACACCCAGGCAGTCGCCACTGAATCTGGAGTTAGGCTACCAGGCAGTCAGACTCAGCGCACCTCCTGCCTCTGCACTCTGAAGTGCTGGGGCGACAGAGGGTTAGGTAACTATACCCATGTTTTAAATGTGGGTTTTAAGCAATTAGAATAAGGTCTTCATGCTTGAGAAAGTACCTTACCTGCTGAGCCAACTCAGGAACCTCACAACTTTATATAAGCAGGTTTTCTAGCTCTCAAGATGCCATCTGAGCTGAAATTATAAGACTTGCTGGTAAGTTCCCCATGCTTATTCAGGCAGAACTAATTTAATTCAGTGGGTTATTTTAAAAAAAAAAGTTATGAAGGTGTGAGGGCCATGTGTCTGGGAGAAATTGGGGGTAAATATGATCAAGGAGAAATGGGGGGTAAGTATGATCAAGGTAAATATGTAGTATATTTTATATGCTACATATATAGAATATATATACTATGTATATATAAAATTGCCTAAGAATAAACAAAGACACTAAAAATTAGTAAGGCTTGTCTGAGTCATGTGTTTGCTCAGGAAATAACTGCCTGCTTTGTACTAAGCAATATTTTAGAAATATCGTGACAGCCAGGCGTGATGGCTCATGTCTGCAATCTTAGCACCCAGGAGGCAGGAGGAGTTGGAGGAGCTTCAACCTGAACTTAGAGACCCTGCCTTAGACAGGAGAGACACCTCAGGAGTTAAGAGCACTTACTGCTCTGTCATACGATCAGAGATCCCAATACCCACACATTGGGTGGTTTACACTTACCTGAAACTCCAGGTCCAAGGGACCCAATGTGCCTTTTGAGCTTCCATATCACCTGTGCACATATGTGAGCATATTCACACATACATACATACATATTTAAAAAGATAGACAAATAAAGTGTTGTAATGGTAATCTACCATACACAAGGCACTGGGGTTCAATTGAACAACCAAAAGAAAGCAAAATTTTGGACCCGAAGTTTACTTTCTAGACCAGTGGTTCAAAGCCCCTCTGGGGGATAGAACAACCCATTCACAGGGGTTGCCTAAGACCACAGGAAGACACTGATAATTACATTACAATTCATAATAGTCTCAAACTGTATTAAAGGGTCACAGCATTAGGAAAATTGAGAACCACTGGTCTAGACTGAAAGCAAAAAACAGATAATCATAATACAATGTACAATATTAAAATATAAGGTGCCTTTTAAATTGACATAAAATTACAACTACTTAAGAGGCATGATATGTGTATATATTATACTATGATCAAATACAGAAACTAATTTCCCTCTGCTATAACATTCTGTTATTAGAGATATTCCTTATAATTTATAAAATGCCATCCATTTAGTCACCCTATTGTGCTACAGAACAAACTGCTCAGGTCAGTATTAATGTGCTTGTTTGCCCATTTGTAAAATGGTGCTATTAGCTCCTCTCTAGGTTCTGAGATTAATGACTGTGTACTATGCCAATAACCACACCTGGGGTAGTTTGTACACAGAGATTCTATAATGAGCTCCCTCAGAGACAACTTGTCAGCTTCCTAAAATGATTAAGTTCAAAAAGCCACAACTGAATTATCAGAGTAAGACTAGCTTTATCAGCAAAACTGTTCATTTACATTGTTCAGTTTCCAGATAGTTAAATGTGAAATTCAGGGTTAAAAACCCCACTTCAGGAACTGAGATGCTACATGGTCTTCTAGCTCAGCTCTGTGTTGCCAACGGATAATTTAAGAATGTGACTTACACTTATATTGACAATAAAATAGGAAACACATGACAGGTTGTAATTTTCTCTTGACAGGAAGAATCATTGTCAATCTTTTATGAAACTACTTTAGGATGCCGGCTCATTAAGGATTAATTGGGGGACAATCAGATGACAAAGGTCTCACCTCCAACTCTGACCACCTGAGCTGAAGCATTCACACTGTGCAAGGAGAGACTCAACTCCACACAGCTGTCGTGTGATTTCCCCATGCTATGCTACCCCACATAAATAGAAAGTAGGTTAGTAAACTAGGGGTAGACTATTTCTGTGGCTGCACCCTTGCCTAGCACGCACAAAGCCCTGGGCTGAGGTGTGTGTAACCAATTAACTTAACCAATCTTAAGTTTCTTTAAGGTAAGAATTGAAACATGCCATGCTTCTAAAGTAGACACTGCATCATCCAGTTCTTTAGGACTTACCAAATTTCCCAGGGCAGAAATAACTGAGTGTACCTTGAAACATGACTCTAAACTTAAATGGACACAATCAGCTTCCCATTCCTGACCTTATCCACCGAAGGTACCTTGTTTTTCTGAAAAATTACTCATGTTGAATATTAAGTACCTCCGAAAATAAAATGTAGTTACATAGATTATTTCCACATTTCCTCTTACTATCAGACTCTTGAGACAAAAACATTCATTCAAGCAGTCACCCTTCCACCCCAGCAAACTGGGTTTTGTAGTAAACTGTCAGCATCTTATTTTATTATTGGTGAAAGCATGTGATGCCAAAGTAATGGAAGTAATTTTACACACTCAGAAGTCTCTAAGTTCTGAAGCTTACGACTGATCTTGAAACCAAAGGACATTTCAAATGACTAACTTTTAAATGCATGGGATGAAAGACAGGCCTCAGCTGATGACTGAAGCTGTTCATCTGCACTGAGATATTTCTCTGAAGGCTTCTGAGTGCAAAGCTTCAAACCATGAGGACAGACATGGATGAAAAGCTCCCACAGCCCGCCCCACAGTCCTAAGCCCGAGAACAAGACAAAGTGTTTTTGTTAACCAAATGGGATTGTATGCAGTTTTCACAGATGTTGCCTCAGACCTCTTATGTCAGCCAGCCCCTGGTTACACTAACAGACCCATCCAGGTCGGAAGCTGGAAGAACGCACACACACATACACTGGCCTGGCCGTAAGAGCAGACTGTAAAAGCAAAGCCTGGCTGTGCTGGTGCAGCCCTTGGGGGAAATTCTCCTCCTGAAAGCAGGTCAGCCAGTCCTGCTAATGAGAGTCAGCAGCCAGAAGAGAGTCACTGTTCTTCCCTGTTTTAAAGGTACACAGTATCACGAGAAGTCAGTAGTTACACATTTAACAATCATGGTCTAAGGCTGCTCAACCTCTTCTTGCTTCTTATTTTGATGTATTGTCCTTGCTGCCTGTGGTATCATATTAGGGATCCCATCGATGATTGGGTATGCTATTCCCAACTCTTCATTAATCAATTCATTTGTCGATTCGTCATATCTGAGGAAGAAAAAGAACACAATGAACTATGGGAAATCAAAGGTCAGAGGAGCTTGCTAATAAAGACCGCCTATCCAATTCTTGATAGAGTTATTCCTCTATCAAGTTATTTAGTCTTAAATGCACTAAACCATTTCTTTTAGGAAATCATCTTACAACCTGTAGTTATTTCCATTGGAATCAGTATACCTCATATTATCTTTTAAAAGTTCATTCCCAAGTTATGCTTAACTTTTTTTACTAGCTAGAAAGGATGTCTACATTTCATGCCAGTATTCCTTCCTTGCTATGGTCAACTCCAAATCACTCCTCAAGGAAGAAAAGGAAAAAAAAAGAAAGAAAGAATTTCCTGTTGATGTAGATGCTAGAGTGACTTATATGACACAACAGACAGAAATAACTGATCATCTAAACATGCAAAGTAAAAGCGCGGAAGATGGCCAGGTGGCGGTGCATGCCTTTACTCCCAGCACTCAGGAGGCAGAGGCAGGTGGATCTCTTGAGTTTGAGGTCAAGCCCAGTCTACAAAGCGAGTTCCAGGAAGGGCTCCAAAACTACACAGGGAAACCCTATCTCGAAAAAAAAACAAAACAAACAAACAAAACCAAAGAGCCCAAACGCTGGTCCTGATACTGAGGTTCAAAAGGCCCTGGGGACGCCGGTCTGAGAAACCCCGGTCTTTGCTTCGGTCATGGGCGGGACTGACCCCACCCAGCAAGGGCGGCCCGGGGACCCGCCGGCTGTGGCCACTGGGCCGCCACCCTCCTCCCGGGCGAGGCCACAGGTGAGTCTCACCTGAGCGGCTTCTTGGAGAGCGGACACACCAGGACTCGCAGCAGCGCCGGGTGGAAGGTGCGGGGCTCCTCCGCCCTGCCGCCCTGGTCAGCCAGGGACCTGACCCCAGGCGCCAGCAGACACCGCCCGGCGACGGCGGACGGTGCCCGCGGACCCCGCAGCGCCGGGGCGAGCCCGCGGCACGTGGCGCTCAGCATGGCCGCTCCGACAGCCAACGCGGCCGCCATCCGGCCTCCTCCGCTGCCTCCACGACACCGAGTCGCCGGGTCACCCTGGCCTGGCCCGGCCCCGCCCCTCTGTGCTCTGCAGAATGCAGCCCCCCCGGCACAGCCAGCGCCAGCGTTGTGGTTCCGGGAGCCGGACTGAAGTTCCGGGTTCAGTGGCTACGCTACCCTTTTTAGGAAACTGGGAACTAAACCAGTGCTCATTCGGTGTCCAACTTTTCTGCAAGGCTAATGACAGAAGCCAGGGGCCGGACTCCAGTCACACAGCGCTAGGCTTCGACTTGGGCGGTTGTCTTCAGAGTCTTCAAACACAAGCATATCGAGTGTGTTAGAAGCAACAGCTTGCTTAGTGTTAATCGTACAGACTCAGTTTCTGTGACCTTCTTTGGATTCCATCCCCATTCAGATATTTGAAAACCTGGAAAGAATGGCTTTGTTCGCTTACTCTGTTAACTGTGAAGGCTTTTATGATCTAGGCGTGTTAATTGTAAATACCACTATTAAGCACAACTAATTAATTCCTGCAAGTCAGAGTTCTCAACCCGCGATTCAAGACCCCTGTGGGCTGAGTGACACTTTTGCAGGGGTTGCCTAAGACCATCGGAAAACATATTCACATTAAAATTCATAGCAAAATTACAGTTATGAAGTAGAAATGAAAATCTTTTTATATCTTTATGTTGGGGGTCAACACAACATAAAGAGCTGTATTAAAAGGAAAGTTGAGAATCACTGCTGTAAGTGAACCTGAAGGCCGTCTGGGAAAGTAATCAGACATATGTTCATTAGTCAAATGGTCCTCTAGGATTATTCAGTGGGTTTTTATCCCAACTTTGCATGGAATTGATACCTGTTTGATTTTCCTTATGCAGTAGTGAGGTGGACAAGAACTTGCACCCAGACAGTTTGTTGCACACCTATAAGCCAGACAACTCAATCTCCTTATTGTTATAATAAAATAATTCAGTTTCCTTATTGGTATAGTAAGATTAATATTTGTCACAACTATGAAACTGAAGTTGGAGTGGGCATAGGGAGAGCCTAATCTATTTTAAGATTGTACAAGACTAGCCAGGCATGGTGGTGCACACCTTTAATCCCAGAACTCAGGAAGCAGAGGCTGGCAGGTCTCTGAATTTGAGAGTTTGAGTTTGAGGTCAGCCTGAGCAATACAGAGAAACCCTGTCTCAAAAGAAAAAAAAAAAAAAAAAGGTTCTACAAAGCTGATGGACAGATTAAAACTTTCCATGATTGTGGAAAATTGGAATGTTACAGGTCCAGAGCCAGATTAACTTCAGCTGTCTTTAGATGCTGTAACAGCTTTCATTGCCTACCTCTGTCTGACCTAACATCTTGGCGACTATGGGTAATTCCTTTGGGAATGTACTAACAACCCACTGTCAGCTAATATGAAAGACAATTCCTGGAAGAAGACAGGTTGGCTGGTTAGAGCTTCAGTGCTGCAGACATGTTTTGGGGCATTTCTACCTCCCCCATTTATTACCCTCCTCTGGACATGACCGGACACCTTTGTGGCCAAAAGGTAAATTCTTTAGACTATATGAACAGACCTAGCTTCCCCTGGTCAGAAGGATGCTGTCAGATATCAGCTAGGGCCCATAACAGCTTTCCTTGCTTTGGTGTAGCCCACCTACCTGATGTACCCACTAATATATTTTATATTATGACCTTTGAAATATATTTTTAAAAGGTCATAAATTTGCTCCTGAATGAGAATTAGAGGGACAGGAAAAGTGAAAATTGCTCCCTAAGATGGTGGCTTCTTGTTTCCAGACAAGAATAGGCTGCATAGGGTATGTATCTACACAGGACTAGTAGAGAAAAGAGAAGCTGGCCTTATAAAACACCCAACTGAATGTCTGTTTAGCACATTCCCATCTTTGTGGCTTCTCAATCCCAAAGGGAGCTGATTGCAATAAAATCGCTACTTTGGCTTTCTCCACAGACAGTCTTGTCTTTCCCTGACATTAAATTCTTTTTTTTTTTTTTTTTTTTTTTTTTTTTTTGTCCCATTGAATGAAGTCAGAGATCCCTTAAATGACTACCAGAACCCCATTACATCTCTTGGGGGTTCATCTGTGATTTGAGAAGGACTCAGAAGTGGTCATGACCTTCTGGTACTCCAAAGGCTTTGGAGTGAGGGAACCCTGTGACCATAACTGACATGGTGAGACAGCCTCCACCTCTACTAGGAGTAAGGAGGGTAGGGAGATACGGCTCTGATATAACAGCACACCTTGCTCTCACATGGCTAGATGGAGATTTGCCCTTCAAAAACTAGGGCAGGGCTTATATGCTTTTATCGCCATTTAAGTGGCATTGCAAACTGGACCCCAAGGAAGCAAACATCTTTCCAGGGAGAGAAGAGGGCAGATTTCTCACTTGATCCACCTGCAAAGGCCCATGGGGAAAGTCACTCTGGTTGATTCATGCCTGGCTTTTGAGCCCCGAGAAGGAATGGCTAAGTGTAGGCACCTGGGCCTAGGCTGTCTGGGGAAAGAATGACTCACTCGATTTTCTCTATTTTTTGAGCCGCCCTAGCACATAAGTGAGTCTTGAAAAGTTTTGATTTACTGAAAAGAAAGTGACGCCAAGCTTGCTTTGGAGGTGGGGATGTGCCTGGAACACGAATGGAGGTGGCCAAAAATGAGCAGGTGTGTAGGGAAGCTCTCCTGGGTACTGGCACTCCTGAGGGGCCTTGGCTGTCGGGGGGGGGGGGGCACATAACTGCTGAAACTTTGTGCTTCCTTAGAGCTCTCAAGAAGAACAAACATTTTCCCTCAAAGCTTTGCCACTATATACGGCATGTGAGGGAAGGGACACAGGTATCGGAAACAGGGCCTCCTTTAGCTGAACTGTTCATAAAATGACAACACTGGCCTATCAAATACTCCCTTCTGCACACACCCTTTCTCTAGCCCAGGCTCCACCAAGTCCCCGAGTGTGTGCAAAGCTCTCTGCTGTCTTTGTCAAAGACACTGGGTTCTTTAGGTCCCCCAGATGGTGTGGAAGTGAGGAAGAAAATGGCAAGGAATGCTAACAGTAAGGCTGTGGGTGGGACTCAGCAGAAGACTAACACGCGCTAAGCCCTGAGTTCCAGCCCCACGACTGAAATAAAAACAAATTGCAGCCAAAATATCCATAGCTACGAGCAGGGGTAGGTGTAGGTTGAGAACTAACTGCACTGGTTTCTTGTTTTGTGAACCTTACATGGATGCTGCAGGTTCCTGTGTTTCCTAACTGTTGTCAATAAGGGAAGCATTTTCAGAGCACCTTGCAGGGGAGGGTACATCAGTTATAGCAGAAACCATTCACTCACTGGAGTTAGGCTGGGTGTGGTGACACATGCCTTTAATCTCAGCACTGGGGAGGCAGAGACAGGCAGATCTCTGTAAGTCTGAGGCCAGTCTAGACTATAAAGCAAGTTCCAGGCCAGCCAGGCCTATACACAGAAACCCTGTTTCAAAAAGCCAATGCCCTCAAAATCCAAAACAACACCAAAACAAAAATAAAAACAAAAAACCCCAAAACATAAAACAAACAAACAAACAAAACCCCAAACTACAACAACACTGGGGTTAATTACTCTGAAGTCAGACTGCTGTGTTCAGAGTATCTGGGATGATTCTCCTCCCACGTGCTCACTTCCCATGGCTAAGGGGGCGGTGCTGGTATCTAGTTTCTCTACCTAAATCGTTTCCACTCTGCTCCTGACGCTACCTTCCTATCTCAAACCCCACTCCTTAGCCTTCCCAGGCTGGTTGCTATGGCCAGGGGAAGTTGGAGGATACTGCCATCCTAGTAGCCAAAAGTGCCCTTGCAGCCATCCACTGGCTGTACCAGGAGCCTTCCTATCCTGATGATCCTTGGGACTCTGGGTACTTTCCTCTCAATTAGATCTTCCTACTATAACCGGGATGGCATTAGGTCTTTTCCCTGTTGAGGATCCAACCTCTCTATGGCTGATTTGTTTCTTACAAGAAATTAAATGTCACATCAGGAATTTCAAGGGATGGTGGCATCAAAATTGTCTTGGTTGTAGAAGCATAGGTGTTAGTATTTAGGCATCTGTACTGCCTGTCCTTGGGGCTCTGACGGGATATGCCCTCAGCCGCAGCTTCACTATGTTCCCTATTAAAAAGGCCCTGCCCAGCTCCCATCCTCCTCCCCTCTTTTTCTCTCCCCTTACCTCTCTTTCCTCTCTCCTGCTGCTCCTGTCCCTTATGTTCAACTTTTCATTTATCTTCAAGAACACCCTAAATTGGGCTACAATTACCAGCTAGATCCCACTATTTTAATGGTCTATGGTTCTGCTTCCCTACCTCTGAAATAAAGTGATCACATACTTAATCAAATAACCCAGCCACCTCAGTCCTCCATCCCTGGTTCCTACAAAAGCCATATATTACAATGACTACCCGGGCTCTCCTGGATTCTTCCCCACCATACACCAAAGGGCCTTGGAGAGTTCAACCCAAAGCACCCAACCCTCACCTCCACAGGCCCCTGGAAGGCTTCCTTCGGAGATGATGGGAAAAATCAGACGCTCCTATGGTAACAGTGCCTTCTCATTAGCAGAGCTTAAATGACACACAAGGTACACACTTATTGAGCTCTGCTCTGGTATTGCCCATCCAGTCCCTCTAACATGGCATCCCGTGAATGACTACTTCCAACAACCCAAGGATGCACTTACCGAGCATTGCTCTGGTATTGCCTACCCAGCCCTGATTTTCCTTGTATGTCATTAAGAGAAAGGAACTTCCCCGAGAATTCTGATCTAGCTGATAGGATGGACCCATGCCACAGTGAGATACCTTAGCAAGGAATTGAACTAGGGGCTAAGGGGTGGCCAAGATGCCTAAGGGCAATCAAAGGCACAGTATTCCTGGTCCCTGGATGACATAAATTAACACTGGGAAATCACCGCACTGTATATGCCAACATTGGGGACATAACCCAAAAGGACACTCATAGCACTTGGGCAACAGGATAGTGAAATATTAAGCTCATTTAACAGAAGGCCCAGAGATGACATTTACAGTCTGCCTCTCCCTCAACCCTGCTTCTTACCTTCCTGATGGGGCAAGTCTTGAGCATGTATACCAGGAGGTCTTGCTAGAAATCCGTGCTTCTAGTCCTTACCTTAAAGACTACTCTATAGAAAACTACAGCTGTTGATGGGAGTACAACCGCATAGGACAGAATTAATAAGGCAGGCAGGAAATGAATGCTGTAACAGAATACAAGACTCTTGAGCCCAACACCCTCCATATCAACACTGCTTTTCTAGTTCAGAGTTCTAAAGTCTATATTCCTCAAAAAAAAAAAAAAAATGGCCTGGTTGTTCACATGTTCACAGCAACAACAACATCAACTTCTACATTAGTTACTTTTATATTGTAGTGATAAATCAAAGGAAATAATTCATAGGAGCAATTTTTTTTTTGTGGGGCTTGCAGTTCCCGGGAATAAGAGTGTGTTATGACAGGGAAGCAAGCTAATAAAAAGCTTTCCTTCACAGTTCTTGTTTCTGCTGCAGCTTGAGTTCCTGCCTTGATCTCCCTGTTGATGGATGGTGATCAGGATGGGCAACCACATGACCCCTTTCCGTTTCACATTGATTTTGGCCCAGAAATGTTTATCCCAGAAATGGGAAGCAAACTGACATTTATGTATTTCTTGTACTGAACACTTATACAACTATCTGGAAGGAAACTGGTATTATTAACAATCTTTGTGAATGTCATAAAACATTCCAAGAAAACTTTAAAGGCTCCTCGTACGAGAAAACAGTTTATTATGTTGTCAGGCTTTTAGCAAATTATTATCCAAATGCCAGAGCTCTGAAAGTTACAGACATGAGGCTTTTACACTTTTTAAAATTTATTTTATTATTATTATTTTGCTTCTCTGTCTTCTGAACATGGTTACATATTCTGATTGGACATTTTATAGTCCTTGATAGTAATGGCTAGTGATGAGGGGAAAGGAAGAGGGCTTCAGGAGGGATGTGTGGTCAGTCCACGTAGGGAAACTGAAAATTCTGAACTCACACGCGGACATCGATCAGCTTACATAGCTGTTTCCAAATGGCCTCTCCTCCTCCTACCACATTCCCTCCTTTGATGCTCAAACCTATCTTAGTATCAAATAGCATAATTTTTGTTTGAAGTCTTATAACTTCACCATGGGTGGCCACCCCTGCTCCCCCAACTTCTGTAAGGCTGGAGAGAAACCTTGTGTCTAGGAAAACTATGTAAGGTAAAATCAAGCATCCTTCCAGAATTGTGAGCATGACATAAATATTTTCAATCCTCCGAAAGTTGAAAACCATTTTCTAAATAAACTGTCTGGGTTTTAGCCATTTTAGATTTGAACTGGTATGTGGGTCATTTTTGCTTAGCGTGTGATCGATCTCTTAATGATATTTTAATCATTTATTTGGAACAAGTAGTTGTTTAGATGTTATTTATGGCTCCACATCCATCAAAAGATAGCATCAGTTGTCCTGATTAATGACTTGTGTTGACGGTATGATCACCTTCCTTCTTATGGGTCTTCTAGACTGATTGATATTCATTCGCGAGGCTATTGCAGGTCAGAACATATGTATTGTTATCCTTTGTTGTTGATACAGAATACATGATTTTATTATGCCTACCAGTTAAGAAAAATGAGTTATGGTGATATCCTGTCCTAACAGAGTAGTAGGAGGACTCTGAAATTACAGAAGGGAAACACTCTTTGTTCACAAGCCAGCCAGAGGAAGAACTATGTCCCAATGATTTCAAAGTTGTGAGGACTTGCCAGACCACCTTGCTGAAGACGGAGAAATGGACACTAACATGGGCCAGTGACAGGTCAGGTCACACCTGGACCTGAGCTCCTTAAGAATGCATACAAATTTCAAGTCCACCACTTAAGCCCAAGCCTTGGGTTAGGCAGGATCTGAACAGTTGGGCAGGTAGGTGTGTGCACGCCTGTTTGTGTTTGTCATTGCCTCTCTTTGTCCTTCTTTCCAGTGTAGGCACATTGAATAAACCTCCCTTTTCCACTTTTCACTGCAGTCTCTTAATTGGATATTAAGGCTGGTGGTGGCGGAGCCTAGCTATTTAGGGCATAGGGTCTGACTCTTAAAACCCTGATCTAAACTTTCACGATAATGCTGGGTGGGGGGCAGTGTTTTGCATATATGACAAAGAATGGGCATGAAAACCTAAATCTTCTCCACTTTACTTCCTTTGAGACCAAGGGCAGGAGTGACGGAGAACTTTGATGTTTGGTAGTGTTCCATTATGCCACCTTTGGCGTTATGTTCACATGTTCCTTGCTTGGACCCAGGAAAACTACACAATTGGGCTGCTCTATGATTCTTGGCTTTCTTGCCTAACTTGATTTCTCCAGGAGCAGAAACATTTTGTCACCAAGTACTAATGTTTATTATGTGAAAGACAATTGGGATAATATTATTTCCTTTTAAGATAAATCATTACTCAGATTTGTTTCTAGGTAAACGGTTCGAAAACCACAGAGCCAATAAAGGCTGTAGATTTACATATCGTGACTATAGAAATGCAAAGATCTATTGACTTGTGTCCTCTTTGCCATCCATGTTATTCTGCTGGCCAATTATGTTAATCCGTGATCATAGGACTCTCTGGTCTAAAAATACTTAGATGATTAATAAGCATTCTTCCATATTAATTCTCGTTACCAAAGATGTGCATGTACTCAAAACAAAGAGAATGAAAATAAAACATAACAAAACAAAACAAAGGCCTGTGGCTCCTCCTCCAAGCAACCCCCCTCCCAGTGGTGATGAATGGGATGGACTGTATGCCCCCTCCCTCGGGAGGCTATCCTTTCACTGTTTTAGGCCGTTTTGCAATTCTTTTCTTTAGAAGATATACATATATTTAATCAAACAAAGCAGCTGCTTTTCCTGTGATTGGCGCAAGACCAGGGGGCGAGGACACGGACGGGCGGCAAGGCTGGGCTGGTGGAAATGCAGTCAGTTTGATGATGGAGCGGCTGAAGATGCGCTTTTCCCTGCTCTGCTCACACTTTGAGTGAACCCATCTTTACAGGCTTTCCCTACCGCAAACGGGAGCTTCGCGGGCGAGCGGTTTTTCTCTAGGACCTCTCGGTAGGACACAGCCACCGGAGGAGAGGCGACGGTAACTGGGAGTCTTGGCGGGTCTGCGGGACGGCTGCGAGCCGCCGCCGGGAGGGCGTGACTGGGCAAGGCTGGAGGTTCGGCTTCTTCGCGCCGGCGGCATCCAGATGTGCAAGGCACCGGCCGCCAGGGAGGCTTCGCCGCGCAGCCCCGGCCCGAACGCCCTGCAGGAGGTTTGTCCCTGCCTGCGCGCCGTGCCCTGAGCTCTCAAGCAGCGAAAGCGCGCGGACATGGGCGAGACCATGTCAAAGAGACTCAAGTTGCACCTCGGAGAGGCGGAGATGGAGGAGCGGGCGTTCCCCAACCCCTTCCCGGACTATGAGGCCGCCGCCTCCGGCGCGGGATCCGTCGCTGGAGCCGCGGAGGAAACCGGCCGAGTTTGCCCTCTCCCCACCACAGAGGACCCGGGCCTCCCCTTCCACCCCAACGGGAAGGTGAGTTGGCTGCCAGGGCTGCCAGGGCCCCGACCAGCGGTTGGGAGGGTGAGGCCACCTCCGCCAATGGTAGCGTCCGGCGGGCGGTCACGCCCTGGGGTGCGATGACGTCATCGGCGCGCGTCCCCGTCTGGTGCGGGTCCAGGGAAAAGGCGGCAGGGCGAAGGGTTTGATCCCGTAGGCACGGCTTGGATCTGTTTGTGGCTGAAACACTCCGGCGGAGCACTTTGATGTCTCTTGGGACTAAAATGTGAATTAGTTGTTGCTGTTAGGTAGATGTCTTTTCTTTCTTTCTTTTTTTTTTATGACATCTGCCCGTGGGTGCGCGCTTACTTGGGCCAGAAAGACTTAAAGTCATACCTTCTAACATCTTTTTCTTTTCAGTTAATTTTGTTCTTTAACAATTTCATACATGTATTTTATTTAATGCATTCTGGTTGCTCCCACCCCACTGTCTCTCATCTCCCCCGAACCTCCCCAGCCCCGCCCAATCGCTGTCTCCCTATTTATGTCTTTGTTTGTGTCCCTCTGGGCTTGACCAGGACTGTCTGTGTGAATTATCCATTGGAACCCGGCTACTCCTACCCAGAGTGAATCTGTAGCTAATAGTTAAGCATTAATGATTAGGGTCCCATGAGCCCCTCCCCATCCATGACTACCTGTTGCCTGTTGGAAGGGCCCTTCTTGTGCACATGCAAATAATTATAGCAATTCTGAGCTCATGGTTACATTGGCTGTGTCGTATCTTATGGCTCTTGGATTTATTCTTTTCTTCTTCTTTTTTTTTCCCCCCACCTCTGACCATTCCTCAACGTGCTCAAATTTTAGAGAGTGTAGCCCAAATAGCTTGTTTAGGGCCAAGCTGTCATCTGTTACATGTAGTAATATGGAACCTTTGGATATATGCTATTTATTTTTGAAACAGAGTCTCTCAGTGTAGCCCCTGGTTGGCCTGGAACTCACAGATATCCACTTGCCTCTGTCTCCTGAGTGCTGGGATTAAAAATGTGCTCCACCATGTTCAGCACATTAGGTATTTTCATCTCCAACTTTTGAGAACCCTCTAGATTGATTTCCAGCAGTGTAAACGGGCACCATTTTCTTGACAACCATGTGCTAGCATTTGTTATTTGTATTGATGAGCATTCTCACTGGGGTGACATGGAATTTTAAAGTAATTTTAATCTGCATATCACTTATTGCTGAGGGTGTTGAACCCTTTTAAAAACGTACACTGTTTGCAGTCTTTGTAGTACTCTGTTTGAGAACCTTCATTTTTTTTTCAGTTGCATAGGCCCCTCCACCTTTAAAAAATCATTTTATGGAAGTATTTTTCCTTCCTGATCACCCTGTGCTTGCCTAATACTCAGGAGGTCAGAAGAGGGTGCTGGATCTTTCTGCAAATGCAGTGTGGACAGCTGTGAGCGACTGTGTGGGTGCTAGGAACCAAACCTGGATCCTCTGCAAGAGCAGCAAACACTCTTAATTGCTGAATTGTGATTCCAATCCCATGTAGCCCATTTTTAAAAATTTGTTGTCTTTTTTCGTGATGCTTAGGTTGATTTTGTTCTGTTTTGTTTTTTAGGTCTTTGTATATTCCAGATACTAGACACTAGTCTACTGTTGAATGTGTAGAAAAGATTCTCTCCTATTCCATGGATGCATCCCATTTTTGACTGTGGTCATAATGCCTGTGATATTGGAGTCTTACTTGAAAAGTTCTTACCTACGTCTATACATTGACGTATACTCCCTCCTTTTCCTGGAGCAGTTTTAAAGTATGAAGTCTTATATTGAGGTAGTTTTGTGCAGAGTGACAGATGATGGTTAGTTTTCTTTTGAAAGATACCAATATTCCCAGCACTGCCACGACCCGCACAGCTTGGGGTTGATCTGATGGGGCATTAGGGGAGTGAAGAAACAACAGACATGTTACAGAAAAGTCAATACCCGGTGTGCTGTTCTTAGCAGCTCAGACTGGGTGCATTTATTAAACAGAGCTGAGTGAGGAGGTGGATGTTCAGTCTCAAGCCCAGGGCAAAAGGCTGAGGTCCCTAGTTAACTCATCAAAGTGGATGATGACCACCAGGCTTTCCCTGTAACCCTTAGTCACTACCTTTTACAGGGCCATCCTGGCTGGCATGCTTCACCCCTACCCTAAACTTCTCCAGCCCTGGGGCTTGGCTGCCTTTCCTCCAGTTGCCCTTCCCTATACAATAATCTAACCATTTTGCTTACCTGGCCTTTTTCATCTACTCTTCCCTTTCCCTTCCCTTTGTCCCCATATGGTCCATCTCAGACCCATCATGTCCACTCTGGACTACCCCAGATGACCCTGCCTCTGACTATGCTCTCCCATGTATTTATAATAAACTTTTTCTTCCACCATACCTAGGGAAGCCAAGTCCTTTACTTTTATTTTATTTTATTTTTCTTTCAGTGGGGTTATTATGTGGAGCTGAATGAGGAGGTGGGTTGGGTGATTTCTGTAGGGTTATAGTCATTCAGGGAAGGCTATGCAATTTGTATGGCCTGAGTCACTGGACCCCATGAATTTTGCCGTGTTAATGTCAATAGGACATACGCCTCTGGAATTTATGTGCTGCCCTTCATAGCACCATCTGTTTAAGAAGCCCTCTTTTTTTCCAGTGGGGTTTTTGGTTTTTTGCATTTTTGTTGGAAAACAAAACAAAACAAAACAACAAAAAACCCATATAGATGTAGTAGCATGGATTTATACCTGAGTTCTCTATCATGTTACATTGATCTACATGTCTGTTTTGCTCCAGAACTGTGATATTTCTACTAGCATGGACCTGTAGTCAAATTGAAATCAGGTGTGTTGTGCCCAGCAGTCCTCTTTTTGTTCAGGATTTGTTTGGCTGTTCTGTCTTGTTTGTGTTTCCATATAGATTTTAGCATTATATTTTCTGTTACTGAAAAGGATTGCTTGAAATTTTGATGAGGATTGCATTGAATCTGTAGATTGCTTTTGGCGAGGATTGAATTGAATCTGTAGATTGCTCTTGGTAGGATGTCCGTTTGTACAATATTTATTTTCCCAATCCATATGCATGGGGGTATTCCCATTTTCTAGTATCTTCTCCAGTTTATTTCTTTGGGGCCTTAATATTTTCACTATAGCAGTCTTTAGTGTACGGTCTCATTTATTCATTTGTGCATGCATGCCAGTGTGTGTATGCATTTGTGTATGTGTGTGTTGTGAATGAGTTTAATTTGTGGTTCCTTTTTCATTATGTTTGTCATTGGTACATAGAGATTTTTGTGTGTTAGTTTTGTATGACATTGGCAGACATGCTTATCAGCTCTCAAGAGATTTTGATAGCGTCTCTAAGGTCTCTTTGTGTATAGGATCTCATCATCTGCTAATACTTTTGGCTTTTCTTATTGGTTACCATTTATTTCCTTCTTTGTTGTATCTGAAATTGCTATGTCCATCCAGTTCGGAGCTATCAAGTCTAGTACGAGGAGCTGGGTTATGGTAAGTAATCTAATAGTTGTGGAGCTTAGATGGTTTTCTAACCAGCAGCATCAGTTTTATGTGGTATCTTGGGAGGGTCCAGTCAGAGGAGGAAAACTGCACCAAATTGATTGTTATTAACTCTAATGAGATTGGTGTAATGAACAATGTCTCACAGGGAGTAAAAAGAACTTAGAGACTATAGGAATGGCAGATATGAGGAACAGTCTGAACTGCTAGGACCAAGAGAGCATTTGAGGACAAGGCTCTGGGTAGTAGCTATCTGATGCTGGATAATAAATTACCCTGAATTTAGCAACTTTCAAAACACTTATCTCACACAGTCCAGAGCCTCATAACACTGCAGTTAGCTGTGTGGTTCTGACTCAGAGTTTGTCATGAAAATGCAGTCATACCAGAGCTCAGTAAAGTAAAGATAGTCTTCTAACTTCCTTCACGTAGTTGTTGGCAGGCCTGACTGGCTAATTGTTTTCCTTTTATATTTGTGCATGCATGAGTTTGTGTGTGTGTGTGTGTGTGTGTGTGTGTGTGTGTGTGTGTGTGTGTGTTAGTTAGTGCACACACACGCACCATGGTTTTCTCCTATCATGTGGTTTCTGGGAATTAAATTCAGGTTGCTGGCTTGGCAGCAAGTGCCTTTACCAGCTTACCCCTCTCACTGTCTCCAAGGGTTCAGTTTCTCACCATGTGGGTCTTGCCATAGAGCTGCCCTTATGACACAGCAGATTACTTCTGACAGTGAGTGGTCAAGGAGACACAAAATGTTAAAGCATGTTCTCACCGAATTTGAGGCTGAAAAGTAAATAGGGACAGTTTAGAAAGACTTGATTACTCTGAAGAAAATATAAAATTAGAGAACTTTTACTTTTTATTTGTAATTTGACCTTCTTGAACAATGGTTTATTTTACAGTTACTTAATATTCCATAGCTTAAAAAAATTGATGGGTTCTCTCTCATTTCAAAATGTATTTCACATCTTAACATATTATAGAAATAGAAGGAAATCAGTACTTCTCAATTGCTAGGAGAATGACATTTCATTCAAAGTGGACAGTTAGATACCTGAACCTCTAGCTACCCAAGTGACTGAAGCAGAAAGACAACTTGAGCTCAGGAGTTGGAATCCAGCGTGAGAAACTTAGATGAGATTCTGTATCTCAAAAACAGATAAACTGAAGCACAAAGTAAATAAGCATAGTGTGTGGCCATGGGGTTATGGATGGAGGGGTGACACCTACAATCCTTGTCAGAGTGATGTTTGTGGTTAGGCATCAGCACTTCAGGATACCTGTTAGGAATACAGGTCCCACCTCAAACCTGATAAACTACAATGTCTTTAAATATTCTTGTGAGGCACATAGGGGAAAAAATAATCTCTTGACTCTTTTTCAAGAACATAAAGGGGATAATTTGTATGCTTATGTGCCACCCAAGTCTGTATGCCCAGCCCATCTCTATCCCTTTTGATGCCATCATGGTGGTGTTGATTAGGGTTGC